GGATAGGTCCTCGGTGCGAGGCTGCTACCTTACCAGGTAACAAAAACATGTACACATGCTGAAAAAAAAAACAAACGTTTGGGTGTAGTAACATTTATTTAATTATTCTTTTTAAATTAAAAAAAATATCAAAATCTCTAAACTACTAGAATTTATTAAATAAACAATACACATTATATTATATATCAATTTTACTGTATGAAAAAGGTAAATGCTAATATTATTTTACCAGTAATATTTAAGTGTTTTTTCTGGACAGCACATAAACATGAATAAGTATAAGTAACTTCTACTCTTCTGGACTAAAACTGAGGCTGCATGCACACACAAAGGCTGCTGCTCCTCATTCCCTTGCTTCACTTTTCAAGGAGAGGACAAGACATGGTGGAAATAAAACATAAGTTGTCTGCTTTCTTTTGCTTGAATACATTTGTTGGTGTGCAATGGTTTGATGGCATAATGTAGGTGATATTTAGTTGTCAGGGAACAGGGAATGCATATTGTAGCATTCTGATGTGTTTGGCTGTTTGTCATGTGACTGCAGAGGAGGATTGTGGGTAGGATTCATGTTTGTTGTTGTTAAATCATTTTAGGGAACATTGTTCTTTCAGCAATTAGTCTGTTGTGTTACTCTAATTTGTGTGTTCATTATTTGTTAACTTGTGTTAAAGCGTTCAGCAGAAGTAACCATAAGTGAGAGTGGTAGGCCTAGTCATTAATAAGACCTGTGAGTTTCTTTTTGTCTGTGTTGTTCATGAAGAAGAATCGAATAAAGGTTCTTCAAAACCACCACCTTGTGGTGAAGTCTTGAACTACAACAATAACTACACCTCACTCTGTAGCTGTGAGGTGTTATGCTACAATATTGTGCTTGACACATGTGCACTGTTATTAGTTGAAAATATAGAAAAATTTGAGTGAACTACTCCCTAATTATAAGTTTAGAAAAATCAATATTTATAAGATAATGTTGAGATAATTTAAGGCAACTGCACATGTAATTTTTATTTTATGTAAACTGAAAACATTTAAAAACATCACTAAAATATTTTTGTGTAATTTGTTACAAAATAAGTTTTGAGTTCTGAGAACTTATTAGGTTTTACAGTGTGTGCAAAAAAATAAAATAATAATAAAATAAACGAATGTCTCAGAACACAACTAATTCAGTATTGCTCTGTGTTGCTGTAAAGTTAGATAATACACAAGTGCACATTAATTTCATAAAATTTTGCAATGATGTATAGAATCTATTCATCACAGAATTTAAATGGTTTAGCCAACATAGTTACTCCGCATATTTTTTTACCTTTAGGCTGGGAATTGACAGAAGTTAATTTATTCTAATACAATTCAAGGCAACCAATTATTTTAAACTCATGTAGATAAAAATGTGTACTTTTGATCAAGCCCCAGTTTTTAAAAGTCAGTTGGCAAAGTGCAGTTTACATCTTTAAATGAATAGGTTCAGAAATAATCCAATGTTTAGTTTTTGTCAGGTCTGCTGGGTCCCTAAATGATTTTAAGTCACTTTTAAAAACTCATCTGTTTAAACAAGTGTTTGAGCCTGAAGAGCCCGATCATTAGGCCAGCCTTTGTTTTGTTTGATTTTATTATTCTGTTAACCCTGTACTTTAGTTATTGTTTATATCTTATGTTCCTTTTCAGCACTTTGATTATTATTGTGCTTTATGAATAAATAATGATGACAATGATGATAATAGTTTAGAAACACGATGCAGGTGGATGGCTGATGCTGAGGGAAGAAAACTAAGTGTTTGTGGCTGTTTGTACGATTCATTAAATGAAGGAGAAAGCTTTGTTGACTTACCCCCTTCTCAATGCTGCCAGTCTGGCACAAAGTCCCCTCTGCTGCTGGGATGCTGTTGGTTACACAGCGGTTGCTTTTGCTAAGACACCAGAGCTCTCTACATACTTCCTAGGAAAGAAGGCAAAAGCAAGTTGATCAGAATAAATCAAAAGACTAGTCTAGGGTGTAAATTGTTTAAAAAACTGAGAAAGATGCTGGAAGAAAATTTTATGCATTCTGTTTGATGACCTGCAGTACACTGAAAAATGTACTAACAATGGGCCTCAAGCTAGAACATGTTCGTATTCTTATCCTAAATTTCTTTTACTTTTGTTCGTACAAAGGGTTCGTACGAACATGTCACGTCAGATTCAACAAACTCTTCTATCTTCAGGAAAAGTGTGTAAATGAGCTGCGTAAATTCCACCTGTTCGTATCCAGCTGCTCGTGCACGTGAGAGGAGATTAGCATAATTACCACCTGTCAAGGAACCTGGCTACACCAACCATCCCAAGAGTTGGAATCAGGCCAGCAGAGCCTCCTTTTGACTCCCAACAGAGAGGAGGACGTGACAGGAAAAGGAGCCACAAGAGGGACCGAGATGCAAAACACCACATAAGGCTATGTTTCCTACCTCAGATATCAGGAAGTGTCCATTCATGAAAAACGACAGTGAAAACTAAAAAAATAAAAACTTTACGAGTTCAGAGATTGAAGTCCGTCTGTCAGAGATCCAGAAAAAAAATCTGTCATTTTTAGCAGGTCAGCTGTGGAATAAAAAGAGCTGCTAAAATATTAACAACTGTGTTAAATCATTTTCATTTATTCAGAAGCCACACCGTCGTCCCCCCCCTGCGCGGTCTCAATTGTGGTCCTGAAATAAGCATTTTAAAATGTTTTCAAAATATGTCTGGCACTTTGGAGAAAATCCAGGACTCGTTGGAGGGATTATGAATCCTCTCTGGTCTGGGAATGTCTCGGTGTCCCCCAGGACGAGCTGGAAGTTGTCGCTGGGGAGAGGGAAGTCTGGGTCTCTCTGCTGCTGCCCCCGCCACCCGATCCTGGATAAGCCGGCCGGACGGACAATTTATATTGTTAGTCTAAATTACTACATTTAAAATTATAACTCTAATTCAAGCAGAATAGCCTATTGTCAACATAATTATGGAGTATTTTCAACTCAAAATATCTTCAAACTAACCAAATATAAAGTTATTAGGGAGGAAAGTCTGTCTAGATAACAGCAGACTGACTGCTGGTAAAATATACGACAGGTCTGGACCACATGTGAATTTTGTTCGTATCTGAAAAAAATCTTAGAAAAAAAAAAACATTGGTGAATGCTACAAATTCTCCTAAATCACTCGTACGCACAACTTAAGAACAAATCTGTGCGTACGAACGGTTCTTGCACGAGGCCCATTGGATCAAATGTTCAACATGGCACAATGACGGTGCTTCCATACTCTAAAGATTAAACAACTTTGTCCTCAGTGGCACTACTGTAGATTATCATTGGAAGTCAAGCTACTAATTAGAGCAGCAGGAGTTGCCGAGTGGCTCGTGCCATTGGCAATATAATTGAATACACCTTTCATAATCCTCGAGACACAGTGTGCCGAGCTCCTGGGAAACCCCTCCCACTACATTCATGAGTTTTTGGCCGTTTGACTATCTTTGTAAATGTCTGCTTTCAGGTACAACAGTCAGCTTCTGGATGCGAATAGATGCGAACAGATTCCACCTCATCTCGTCCACAAATGACGAACACAAGGGGAGTACCCGATGCGCCAAAATCGGACGCACACCTTGAAAAAGTGTCAATATGTGACGACTCGGAAGTGAGAATGGGTTGGTACATGCTGCCATTGGGATTAATTTTTAAAAAGCACAAAATATCTTTCCATTTTTTTTGCTGATGACATTCAAGTTTATTATACTTTTGATTCGAATGTCTCTGCCCCACTGCAGCCCCTTTTAAATTGTCTCCAGGACGTCAAAGACTGGTTATCCCGGAATTGTCTGACTTTGAATGAAGACAAAACTGAAGTTATTTTATTTGGTCACTCTATTCTTGATGGTTTACCTGGAATTCTTGGCCCACTTGCTCCTTATTGCTCATCTGTGGTCAAGAATCTTGGAGTGTTTTTAGACAGCGCTTTTAAATTTGAGAATTTGCCAAAGCAAAATCTTACATTCCCCACAAAGACCTTGAAACACTTATCCATGCTTTTATTACATCTAGACTGGACTATTGCAAGTCTTTACATATACAGTATGTCTGTTTGGAACAATCATCTGTCCATCGCTTGCAGTTAGTCCAGAACGCTGCTGCGCATCTTTTAACAGGTTCTAGAAGGCAGGACCACGTCACTCCTGTTTTATCTGACTTGCACTGGCTGCCTGTTCAATTTTGCATTGATTTTAAGATTTTTTTACTTATGTTTAAGTTTTAAATGGTCTGACCCTGTTGGCCCTGTTGCACTTTTATACCCCAAACAGAGAACTCAAATCTTCTAATCAGATGCTTTTAGTGCAGCCAAAGGCAAAGCCAGCATAGAGGGGAACGGGCTTTTGCTGTGGCGGCCCCCAGATTGGAACAACTTGCCTCTTGAGATCCGTACTGCAGAATCTGTTCAGTCTTTTAAATCTGACATAAAAACTCACATTTTTCAACTGGCTTTTTAATTCAAATTCAGTTTGAGCTGATCAAACATAACTTAAAAAAAGTTTAAACACCATGGAAAAAATAATAAGCTGATATATCTGTGTGGATGTACCTGCTGACAGAGCTGAACAACTTGTTACTAATTTTTACAACAAAGCCTAAATAAAACTATGAACACATTGTTTTACATACAGAACAATGATACAGTCTCTGCCTGCAGAGAAGCTACAGCTAACAGAAACTTGAAATCAGAGTCTCTTAAACGTGTTCAGAAGGTCCAGGAGTTCATATCATTGTTTTTAATATAACTTGAACCGTGGAGGTTTAGCTAACTGCTAGCTAGCAGCTGACGAACCGAGACATGTCCGCTCGCTGAGCTTCACTCTACTCTGGCAGAAGTGATGGGTCGAGTGGGCGGAGTTTAAACACAATCTCTGTGGTTTTTTTACCAAGAAAAGTCAGCCGGATCACACACCGGCTGGCCAGTGAGGAGCAGAGCTGCTCCAAGATGACGGTGTTTATTTTTTTCCTCCCAGTTTTAATTATTTATAAGGTCGGTCAAATACTTTTTGAGTTGTTGTAAGAAACATGTCGATTATTTTGCGAATTTTGCTGAACCCACAAGGAGGCTTGCATTTTCCCTTCAGCTTCTCAGTGTGGTTTGTTCGTTACTTCCTACTTCTCTCCATCTCGGGCCCGCTTTTCCTTCTAAATAAATTAAGTTAAATTAAACCAGGAATTAATTCAGAGAGCTATGATAACAACAAAACCAGTTCATTTTTGCTTTAACTGGCGGCTTGAGCAGTTCAACCCCGAGTTCGGGTTCAACTTGTGTTTTTGTCAGTTGCCACAACAATTCTAGAAAACTGAGAAACGCTTTAAAACATTTTGCATGGATCAAGAGAAATGCATGTCCAGGTGCTGGCACCGGCCGTGGAGTGCAGTGAGACTTCATTGGATTAACTCGATGTCCTTCAAGACAATCAACCAATCAGCCGTCAATGTCGACAAAAATTATTTATAATATTTTTTTGGTTCATGACAAGCCAACTCTCATGATGTCACTTCCTGTTACATTTCATCTTGGTCAAATTAAAAAGAAAATATGCCAGTTATGTACACAAAAAGTGTAAAATCGTGTGTATTATACCAATTTTCTTAAATATAAATATGTTTTCTTTGACTTTTTGTTTTGAAGGATATTCACGTCATAGGCACTTTAAATATCAACTTATGCTGCTTAAACTGAAAAAAAGTAGCATATGTACTTTATCATTGTCATTAACCAGCTAACAAGCCAACAACAGCATCAGGCTACAGGACAGACTAAAGTTACACAGAACACACGTAGAGACTGATCCTGCTGTTGATCTCCCTTTATTCTCCTACGTGTTTTCATTTCAGGCACTGTAACATCCATGTGTTGCTCTCATGCCTCGCCAAATTACTTTTACAAAGCTTATTAGCTATTTGTTAGTTTTGTGACATGAGTAGAACTCTCTCACTTCTGAAGACTTCACTTGAACCATTTTCTCAGTGTCTGTTATTTGTAGAATTTACATATTTTACTTTTTAAAATACTGCCTCCGCCTCTGTTCAACACGCTCTCCAACCAATTAAGTTTTGTTATCCATATGGCATGGCATGGCATGGCATGGCACGGCATGGCATGGCGCGGCACGGCATGGCATGGCGCGGCATGGTACAGACATCCCAGCAGGTCTGTGTGAGGTAAAAATGTGAGCAATGAGAGCAGGGCGAACAATGCTAGATTCTTACCCCATACTTGCACTGCCGTGAGGAGGTTCCATACTGGAAGCGACACTGTTCATCAGCGTTATACAGCTGCCCCGGGGCCAACGTTGGGTACAGAAAGTCTCGTTTCAGAGGTTCATTGTCCAGACATGTTCCCCGACCTGAGCTGTCAAAAAACAAACTTACATTAGGACTGTTTCTAACATCAAACACACCGTCTGGTGCAGTTTGACTCATTTGATTATAATACTGAACTATTACAGTAGGAAACTTGTCAGAGAACTCAAATGCTATATAATTATTGATGATATTACACACCAGGACCATTTTACAAAAAGCAAAGGAAGCAGCCTCTTTGATTACCTTTGATTGAGTTCTGGAGTGAATGTTCATTATCACCTACTGCAGTGTTAATATTTTAGCATGTCTGTGCACCCGCTTCGGATGTTACCATCCATGAAATGGCCGTCATTAGGCATTATCAGTCCCACAGAATGGCTTCCAATTTTCAGCTGGTTAATATGAGGCATAAAACCACTATCTGGTTAATATGAGGCATAAAACCACTATCTGGTTAATATGAGGCATAAAACCACTATCTGGTTAATATGAGGCATAAAAAAAACTGGTTAACATGAGGCTTAAAGCCACTAAGGTTAACTTTAGAGCAAATGACATGGTTAGCACCAAAGACCCCACCCTCCAACAGTTGAATATTGTGGCCTTCCAATAGGGCAATGGGTACAGTGTTAGACCAGAGAATGGGAGGCCAGGGTTTGAGACCGACATGGACATGAGCATAAAAAAATTTATTTCAATATGTTTTGGTTATTTATACATTCATTGTCATTGATATATTAACCCACTAGGGGGCACTGTTGAGACAGTCTGAAGCCTAGAAGGCACAGTAGGGACCCTCTGAAGCCATTGTATGGGACTGATAACACCTAATAATGTCCATTTCATGGACTGACATCATCAGAATCCCCTGGTCTGTGAGTTTTTGTCTTTATGTATGTTTGTTAACAAATTAGCCAATGCATGGCTGAACAGATTTTTTGTGAATCTTTCATCACTTAATCACTGGACTTACTTGGACTCTGTCTAAATCATGATGACAGCCTCAAGCCAGCCTACCTTAAAAATATAAAACTAAAAACTAGAACAGAAAGAAATTATGATAGGGGTCCAAGCTCTCCAGTGCACCTACTGTATATGTACAGTAGTAAAAAAAAAGTATTTAGTCAGCCACTTGTTCAAGTTCTCCCACTTAAAATGATGAGAGAGGCCTGTAATTTACATCATAGTTATTTGCAAATTATGGTGGAAAATAAGTATTAGGTCAATAACAAACAAGCAAGATTTCTGGCTCTCATAGGCTACGTTCACACTGCAGGTCTTAATGCTCAGTTCCGATTTTTTGAAAAAATC